TACTGTAATGATTACCGCATTTACGTATATAATCCAGTTAATGAGCATTATATTAAGGGTCACAAGTTATTTTTCTTAGATGGGGGGAAAAAAGAAAAAGAAATCTGTCTTTTTGCACTAAAAACAAGAGATTGTGTTAAATAATTCACACTAAGAGGAAGTAGATGGACAAATACAGTAGTACAGACCAAAAGTGATGGGATGTTTTTAATGACCATAATAAGTTAGGGTTAGGGCTCAACTAACCCTAGTGATTTCATTTGACAAAGTAACATTTAGACAAATATTTAATGAACTTTTTCTAAAAATGAAATGAAGTAAAATCTAACTGACATTAGATGTTGACTTTTTTTTACATTTATTGTAACAAGGCTTAATGCAGCTGATATTAATCGTCGTTTCAATGCCATATGTTGAAAGGCACCTGCACAAACCTGCTGTTCTCATTATGAAATCATATTGTATAATTATTCAGATGTGCTCAATGTAAATCAAAGCCAAATCCTATGGTGGACAGACTGCTTTGCCTGCACCCGTCCTTCCTGTGCTAATGCACCCAGAGGTTTTATTTGACTAGCACACATCCCACCGAGACTCATAATGAGAAGATCCAGTCCTCATTCACAAGACAAATATAGCTCTCCTGGCATTCATATGCACGACGCACATTAATTCTAATATTGCTGGATAACGTGCAGGTGATAAAATGGCCACGTAAATGTGTTGCTTTGGAAGAACTTTCTTGTTAATTTTGTTCCAACACATCCAGCAGTCCTTGCCTTGAGCCAAACGTCTTCTCATTTCCTTATTAACCCAGCAGTCACTTTTCTTTGCTTGTCTTCTGATACCGAGAATCTTACATTACACTGACATTTTACCCACAGATAAAAGCATCACATTACCAGGAGAACCTACAATATTCTGTTTGTGCATCTCATAAACCATGAAAGGGTATTAAATAATAAATCATAATGCGTTCATGTAGATGCATGCAAAAGTGATTTAATTGGACAAACACGCAGCCACGGTTACTTCTGAATGAGATAAATGGTACATTTTCACGCCCTCGCCATGTCTTTATAAAATATTAAATGTACTTTTTTTCAAAGATGGAAGTCAAGTCACCTTACAGTGTTTAATACAAAACAGATCACGTCAAAGCAGCTTTACAGTGATAAACAGGAAAGAAATGATTTCAGTAATGCAAACAGAATTCGATTAAAGAAAACAGGATAATCCGTCACCTTTGTTTAACACTGTAAAAAAAATACAACCGTAATTTTTACGGTAAAAAAACGTCAGCTGTGGTTGCCAGAACTTTATAGTTAAAAATACGGTAGGAACGTTCATTTTTACATTTCAGTTTTACAGACTCGACTTAAAATTTACAGTAATAAACTGTATTTCATTTTCTGATAAAATGTTGATTTATAAACCTTTTGAAAAATTGATATCTGTTTTGTACCATTGTAATACTGTGACAACCAACAATCATCACAGCATGAGAGTTATATGAGCAATCAATGCTCATCACAAGTAATCTACCTTCAGAAGGATAATACTTATAAGTATAAATATGTAAAGTATATATAAAGTATATAAAGTACATATTATATATATAAAGTATATACTTCATATTTATAAGTATACATATAAATATGTAGAAGCTGCAGTCTCATTCACACAAACATTAAACACCATCATGATAACACACATGGAAATAATGATAAAATGCAATAAACATTAATTTAACAACATTAAATGCAGACACAAATCATACCATCAAGTTTTCTGGGTTTTATTTTAAATCAGTGATTCACCTTTTATTTTTTTATTTTATTTTAGTGGCTTATAAACAGACAAAAAAAAAAAAATACAATAGATGTACATTGAAGGGAAATGAGGCAATTCCAAAGACCAGAATATGAGGCTTAAAGGTTAATGCTTTAAAATAGCAAACTAGCAATAGCAATATGCTAACAGACTCAAAAACACCTTAGCAACTGAAGAACCATCCTGGCAACCAACCAGAATAGCCATGGTTTTTCACTCACATTTTCTTCAGAAAATCTTCCTGAAAACAACAAAAACAATGGTTTGCAAGGAAACTCATTCTCCTCTCTTATTCAAGGATAGGCCTGTTGGTTCCTTTGAATCAAAATATTGATTTTTCATGCCTGATGAACCTTGGCAAGGAAAGGAAAATCTTGTTCACTTTGTGCAATTAAATGTGAATTCATCTCCATGCAGTCTGTCACAAAGACGAACACATGTGAAGCTATTTGTCCCTGAAACACGGCGTGTAATGCACTGATTTAATTTCAAATATCTTTTCATGTCTTTCTGCCACTCGCTTAATATTATCCATCCCATAGTCTAGACCCATTATCCCATAATCAGGGGTTATTGGCCTAACAATTCTGTGAGAAAAGTAGCAAAGAAGAATTGGATTGGAGGCGAAAGGGCATTGAGAGGGTGAGGTGATGGAGGATGGTGCACTGCCTCCAGGGGGCGCTCTTGCATAACACTCTCGCTGTCATACAGTGATTGACCTGAAGATGCAAATCAAACAGAGCAAACAATTTCCTTCCCATCATCTGCCAATCAGAGGGCAGATTTAAACTGAACGCCTGTCAGTGCAGGTGCATCACGAGGGAAAAACAGTTAGACAGCAACAAAAAAAACCAACGTATTAGAAATGACGGACTTAACCAATTCAACCACCGCCATGCAAACTGCAGGATAAAATCATATATATAGGCTACATATTTAACAAAGCCGAAGTATTACAGAAGAAGAAAAAAGCTTTGAATATAAATTAGAAGACAATATTTTGTTTGTCTTGTCACTGAACACAAGTCCATCACTGGCACTCGCAATTCATTTTCATTTAAATCAGTCTGAGGTAAACTTAAGGCTGAAATACACATCACAAACAGATTTTAAAACACTTGTTGACTTTGTAAATGGCTACAAATGTTTAACAGCTGTGATTGTCTTTTCTTCCCTATTGTGACGTATATCTGACAACAATTTGCAAGAGTCTGATGAGTCTCGATTTCTGTTGAGACATTCAGATGGTAGAGTCAGAATTTGGTGTAAACAGAATGAGAACATGGATCCATCATGTCTTGTTCCCACTGTGCAGGCTGGTGGTGGCGGTGTAATGGTGTGGGGGATGTTTTCTTGGCACACTTTAGGCCCCTTAGTGCCAATTGGGCATCGTTTAAATGCCACGGCCTACCTGAGCATTGTTTCTGACCATGTCCATCCCTTTATGGCCACCATGTCCCCATCCTCTGATGGCTACTTCCAGCAGGATAATGCCCCATGTCACAAAGCTCAAATCATTTCAAATTGGTTTCTTGAACATGGCAATGAGTTCACTGTACTAAAATGACCAGATCTCAACCCAATAGAGCATCTTTGGGATGTGGTGGAACGGGATGTGCATCCCACAAATCTCCATCAACTTCAAGATGCTATCCTATCAATATGGGCCAACATTTCTAAAGAATGCTTTCGGCACCTCGTTGAATCAATGCCACGTAGAATTAAGGCAGTTCTGAAGGCGAAAGGGGGTCAAACACAGTATTAGTGTGTTCCTAATAATCCTTTAGGTGACTGTAGGTCACAAAAGAGAAGAAAATACTATCACAACTTCCGTTTCGTGCTGACTTTAAAGATGAGGGCACAAGAATGAGAGGCTGGACTCAAGACACTTTTTGTTTTTTAATTGTTGGTTTGTAAACTAATGTGCAAAATGTCTGTTGTAGCACATCTCTCTGCTTTTCAGCATTCAGCTTATACCGTCAGTGTTGTAGTCGAGACCACTTCACTCGAGTCCGAGTCGACACCGAGTCCATAGAGAGTCGAGTCCGAGACCAGAGACGGTCGAGTCCGAGTCGAGACCAGTGAGGGTTGATTACCTAATTTACTTTTATTTACTTAGAGAAATCCTTTTTTTTTTTTTTTTTACTGAATTTACTTAGAGTTTAAAAAATATGATCAGTTTAGGGTAAAAAGGCCACATAGTAGGTGGTGTTAAAAGTAATTTTATTACAATTTGTCATGCGCAGTTTCGCACTAGAAAATCACCAATCACTGGGCGTGTCAATCAATTTAAAGAAATATTTTAATAACATACATTAATAATCATGAAAAATATTTTTAATTGAACACGAGTGGACTCGGGAATAATTCCGAGTCCTAAAAAAAAAAATGTTCGAGTCCGAGTCAATTCCGAGTCCAAATGGACACGAGTCCATGACAAGACCAAGACCATTAAAATATGGTCTCGAGACCGAGATAGATGTACATTGAAGGGAAATGAGGCAATTCCAAAGACCAGAATATGAGGCTTAAAGGTTAATGCTTTAAAATAGCAAACTAGCAATAGCAATATGCTAACAGACTCAAAAACACCTTAGCAACTGAAGAACCATCCTGGCAACCAACCAGAATAGCCATGGTTTTTCACTCACATTTTCTTCAGAAAATCTTCCTGAAAACAACAAAAACAATGTTTTGCAAGGAAACTTTTTTTTTTTTTTACTGAATTTACTTAGAGTTTAAAAAATATGATCAGTTTAGGGTAAAAAGGCCACATAGTAGGTGGTGTTAAAAGTAATTTTATTACAATTTGTCATGCGCAGTTGCGCACTAGAAAATCACCAATCACTGGGCGTGTCAATCAATTTAAAGAAATATTTTAATAACATACATTAATAATCATGAAAAATATTTTTAATTGAACACGAGTGGACTCGGGAATAATTCCGAGTCCTAAAAAAAAAAATGTTCGAGTACGAGTCAATTACAAGTCCAAATGGACACGAGTCCATGACAAGACCAAGACCATTAAAATATGGTCTCGAGACCGAGTCCGAGACGAGTCCGAGTCTCGAGTACTACAACACTGTATACCGTAAGAATTGCATTGTTTTGGTGGAGAACTGACAGGAAAGTAGAGATTTCTTCCAGGGTTTTTTCCTCCATTCTTAACATCTAAGCTGTGTTCCTTCAAGTGGTGCTCTCTGTAGAGCCAAACCTCCTCCTCTCTGGACATAGGTATATCTTGATCTAGTACTCTGTGGATATGATGGGTGGAGAGAGAGTTATGGGCAGGGTTAGGTGGGGTTGGACCTAATCCAGCTATTATGCCCAAATCTCATCCAGAGAGGAGGAGATTTTATTTTATTTTTACAGAAAAATATGGACTTCCAAATGAGGACCTTACAAATTTTGAGACATTATTATTTTTTCTGTAAAATGCTTTGCTTGAAGTACTGTCCATTGTGAAAAGCGTTACAAATTAAATTGACTTGAGAGGCTGGACTTACATATCACTTATATCACAACTCAGACCGCTTTAGCTCTTTTTGAACTAAAAAAACAAAAACAAAGAAATAAATAAATAAACAAAATCCGGTGTAATCCCAAACCACTCTGACGATAGGAAAATTCATTATTAAGTAATTTGCATGGGTCAGGGGGCATGATTTATTCATTTAAAAAAATATATATTTTACATTTCATAAATTGAATTTAAATAAAAAAATAACTATAATTATATAGGTCAATTCATTAATCTAAAATAATTAAAACCACTCAAATTAAACTTTGTTTTACCTTTCAATCTTATAAGACTGAATTTATTGTTAAAACATAAAGGTTTGTTAGTTTAATGCATTCAAATTACCACTATCACTTTGACCACATTTCACCAAAATGACTTTGTAAATAGGCTACTTATAAAACAATCATACAAAAATACATCAGCACAACTATACATATATTAGATCTCTATCCTGAACATTAGGTATTCACAAACGTGAATATTCTTCAGTGCAGTATTAATGTCCTGTTATACGGGGTATCCGTATTTACTATCATACGTGAGCGGAGGCCTGTGATCAGACGCGAGCATGCCGGCTTCCCTTTGGACTCTGCTGCGTTCGGTGTGGGCACTGCTGTGACCCGATCCGGTCCGAGTGACGTTGGCTTTGTTTACGGAGCTGTAATAGATCCCGGGGTGGACGTTGTAGTTCATTACAGATCGGAAGCTGGAGCTACGGCTTCCCGGACGACTCTCCGGAGCTCTGGTGTCCTCCCTGTGAAAGGATGTTAGCCACATTTATTTTTTTATTTATAATATACTTATATAAATTTGGGGCCAGTCCATTTAGGTATTATAGGGTGTGGTTACAGTTGATGAATAACAATGTACCAGTACTGGTGACTTGTCAGCCAGGTATTTACCCATGAGACATTCTTTAACGATTAACTAATAGTACTGTATGTTGGCTACTTCCGCTGGTGTATTGTGAGACTGTGAGACAGTACGGCAATGTTGAGACATGCTGCCTTCACACCCTCTCGTTATTAGCGCCACGCAGCGTGTGACGTTCTACTTGGAGCTGTTCTCATAATGAGCTGTTTCTATGGCAACGTTATTTTGGCAGGTCAGGTGGTACAGCGGTCAAGTTACAAGTTGTAGTTAACGCTTTTTACAAGTTGGAAACTCAATTACTGTAATTCTGAAATATACCACCAGAGGCACCATTCCCATTCAAACCACTCAGTGTTTTGAGCAAAAATGGATTTTCACATTTGATTATATTGATAGACAAAGGATGAAAAGCAATAGTTTTGGGCAATATTTTCCTGAAAATGTTGAAAATACACTAAAATGCTTACAAAATATCCTCTAGTAAATGACTACACCCATGCAAACCTTCCCATGGTGTTGTTGTTAGGGTGGTGTGGGTGGTTGCTAATGTAGTTGTGTAATGTGTTTATCAAGTGCTTTTCTAGTTTCACTGACATTCTTGTATCTGCGACTGTGCCTCCTTTAATGTGCGTCTTGGATTGTAACTTTAAAGTCGGCGTGGATTGAAAATGATCTACTTTCCAAATGCATATAATTGGCTATATCTTATTGAAAACAATTCATGGCCATATTTTCCATTTTTGTTTATGTCATAACTATACCTATTGGTGTAAATTACTTCTCTCTGATGATGTAGTCTCTTTAGTCCACTTAAACTCGGGTTTATCTACCTCTATTTTCAGATGCAATAAACAACTGATGCATAGAAAGCAACTTTTTTTCCTTTTTGATAATCCGTTTCATTCAGATGTAAGTCATAATACGGAGGAAAAGATGTCCCTTTATGTTTAATCATCATTCCAATTCTTTAAAAATATATAAATACGCAATATCTTACCTGATCTCATTGGCTACCTCTTTTTCATAGCGCCGCTTGTTGCAACAGCAAATCAGGAGCCAGATCAGCAAAAGGAGGAGGAGCAGCAACAGCAAAGCACCAATCACAGCTCCCACAATCATTCCCACTTTATTGGTTGCTAAAGATAAAAGATTCCGATAAAAGCCAATAGATTATGTGCGGAAATGGCTCACTCGAGTCTTAACCTGAGAAACAATTCATCTGACAGTGCTGCTGAGGCTTCGATTGCCTTACACAATAAATGGATTAATAGAAACAACATGCTGTTGTTGAGTGAGTCTTGAACATATTTTGTACAAGGACATGCTGCATAATCATAAACAGTTACCCTGAGTATAATATATGAACCTTGAACAGAAATGTTTTTTGTGCAAATAAGTTGCATTGAAGTATTTGGAAACATAAGCTACTTAAAGAAATAGATTAAAGAGTTCACTTTCATAACTATGACTCAGCACACTTGTACGGCAAGTAAGTGTACTTTGTAATAATGTCAAATGTAAAGTTTTGAAGGACATGTTAAATCATTATGTTTTAAAAATGTACTAAAATTCACCCATTTATCTGAAAGGCTGAAATGCTTCATTAAAAAGGTCTCAAAAGCCTTCTTTAAAACGTCAAAGCCATTTCTTTTAGCACAGAGTCTTTAAATCAGCAGGTGTTTTAGTGATTTCTAATGGATGTGCACTAACCATAAAACCAGTTTTAATGTTTAAAAAAGAAGTCTCTTCTGCTCACCAAGGCTGCATTTATGTAATCAAAAATACAGCATTATTGCAAAATATTACAATTTAAATATTAATTAAATATTACAATTTTTAGTTAAAACTACGTTTTCTATTTGGATATATATTAAGCTTTATTACTCCAGACTTCAGTGTATGCTGATTTGCTGCTCAATTATTATTGGTTAGCTCAATTATTAATGATATTGTTTTTTTTATTATTATTATCATTAATGCTGAAAATAGTTTGTGCTGCTTAATATTTTTGTGGAAACCATGTTACATTTTCTTTCAGGATTTTTGATGAATACAAAGTTGAATGAAAAGCATTTATTTGAAATAGAAATCTTGTGTAACATTAAAAATATCTTTAAAGTAACTTTTGATCATTTCTTCTCTCTCTCTCTCTCAAAAAAAAAAAAAAACAAAGAAAAAAAAATCCAGCTTTGATCACAGGAATAAATTACATTTTAAAACGTTTTTCAAAAGAAAACTTGCAATAGTATATTTAATATTATTTCTGAAATTTTGCAGCCTCGGTGAGACTCAAAAACATCCCCAAAACGTTCGCAGCTTCACACAGGTGTCCTTGCAGAGCAACTGCAGGTGTAATTCTCTATGATAATGAATCTTTTTGTGAAATGTCTGTTACAATGGCACTCAATACTCAACACTGACATGTTGTTGACATTCAGACATCAAGTGTGTCTTACTTGTGCAAATATATTGTGGATCCACCCATACTTACGGTTATATGCTTGAAGGGAGTACGCGCACCTCTCCGCTCCTACTTCATTGCTGACCTCACAGAAGTACTTCCCCGTGTAGCTCTCGCTGTGGTTCGAGATGAGCAGCTCTCCGGTCAGGGGATCTTTAAACAAAAGAGTCATTCAGAATGAGCAGCCATTGTGAAAGGCCCGGCAGCGGCGTTTACGGCAGAGTGCACACAGTAAAACTTGTTTGGTTGCTTTGAGGCTCAAAAATATGCTTTTGTTTCCATCTACAGCAGCTGGCTCTACGACAACGACACACAGGCCGGAAGCTACGGGTTATTCAAGCGCTACCAAATATCGAGCTTTCGCTTCAACTATCCGCTAGTGTTGCGCTAGACCTGGCTTCACCGCTGAGGACTCACTCACTCACTCTGTGTTGCGGTTGGTGGCATGTTTCCACTTTCTTTGGTCCATGTATATTTCAGAGGTGATGAACCCTGGGAGGATTTGCAGCGGAGTGAAACGCTCTCGCCCTTCTCCTCGCTACCTTCCAGCGAGCATTTAGGGGGCGAAGGTCGTACTGACAGAAACCAAAAGAAAAAGAATCAGAGGTCATGGACAAAATCACATGGCTGATGCATGGAACAAACATCAAACTGATATGTTATGAGCCTGCAACGTCAGTAATGATTGCACTCACTCTCAAAAATGCTGGGTTGTTTTAACACAATTGTGGGTCAAATATGGACAAACACAAACATTGGGTTAAAAATGTCATCAAAAAATGTAACCCAATGGCTGGGTTAGTCCATATTTGACCCAAAATTGGGTTAAAACAACCCAGCATTTTTTTAGAGTGTACACTAAATGATAGAGTGATACTAATACACTGTAAAAAATATTGATGGTTTAACTTAAAAGTAACCTGGTAAAAAGTGAGTTAATACAATGAAGGAGAATGATTTAATCATCAGAAACTAAAAATTATATGTTATCTGAACTAAATAAATTATTTAAGTTGATTTGACAAAAGAAAAAAATGTTGTGATTACTACACTGTAAAAAATATTGTTGGTTTAACTTAAAGTAAGTAACCTGGGTTGCCTTAAAATTTTAAGTTGATTGAACTGGAAAAAGTGAGTTTATACAATGAAGGAGATTAATTTAATCCTCAGAAACTCAAAATAATAAGTTATCTGAACTAAATAAATTATTTAAGTTGATTTGACAAAAGAAAACGTAAAAAATATTGTTGGTTTAACTTAAAAAAGCAAGTAACCTGGGTTGCCTTAAAATTTTAAGTTGATTCAACTGGAAAAAGTGAGTTAATACAATGAAGGAGAATGATTTAATCATCAGAAACTCAAAATAATAAGTTATCTGAACTAAATAAATTATTTAAGTTGATTTGACAAAAGAAAAACGTAAACAATATTGTTGGTTTAACTTAAAAAAGCAAGTAACCTGGGTTGCCTTAAAATTTTAAGTTGATTGAACTGGAAAACGTGAGTTAATACAATGAAGGAAATTAATTTAATCATCAGAAACTCAAAATACTAAGTTATCTCAACTAAATACATAATTATAAAGTTGATTTGAAAAAAGAAAATATGTTGTGATAACAAATCTTGAAAATATTTCTTTACAGTGCAGGGCTCCAAAAAATAATGATTTATTATTAATTAATTATTTTTCATTTCAGATTTGAACACTAAAGAAGCCCCAATGGTACTATAGTACAAATACCATAATTAAAAAAAAAAAGTAAATACTGAAAATAGTAAAGAATAAAAAGAAACTTTTGAAATAAAATAGAATCAAGGCCTAAAAATCCTAGACTGGACTCTTCACAGCACTGAACTGGAGTTTTCCAAGAAAGTGGAAATCATTGAAGCTCCAGACAGACAAGGTGGCGGGGTTGGGCTTGAGATTAACAGAGGAAAACAGAAGGCAGGCGTGAACAAAGAGCATTCACCCCACCAGCCATTCCAGTCATGCCATCCTGAACGACTTGATGAAAGGAGCACGCTGGGGTGGAGAGAACCGGTACAACAGAAACCCAGCAGCGTGATAAGAGTCAGCAGAGACAGGGAATGTGCACATCCTCACCCAACACCACTATAGTGACTTTCCTAGAGTCGATGCCGGGTGTCTTCTTCACTTTGCACTGGTACGTGGCCGTGTCCGAGACCTTGAGGGTGGAGAAGGTGATGCTGGCGTCGCCGCGGCTCGGGTCGCCGACAAACTTCAAGCGACTCATCAGGTCTGCGTTTCCTAGCTCATATTGGATCCCTCCGGTGTAGGATAAGATCTGTCAGAGAGAGAAACCCAGTGAGCCTTATCTTATACAACAGGTCTAACCACCTGCCGTCATCAAGACAGAGCCGCTAATGCACCGTACACACTGATTTCTCCAAATGTCCACACACATCCCTGGAAAGCATGAGGTTAAGTAGTATGGACGAGGGAGAAATGGGAGGAAATTACAAAATCCATCAAGATGATATACGATTGATCAGGTGGAGACTGTGATCTCCTTGGAGCTGAGAAAACATTCTTACATTCTTGTCTTATCAGAAACACCAGATGTTACGTCGAGAAAAGCTGCACGGCATGCATTCTTTGCAGTTTTTAAATCACCTTTATTCCTTCTGAAGTCTCACACACTGTGTAGGAACAGTTTTCATTCAGAAATTGTAATATATTTCACAAAGAAACAGCAAGATATACATGACATTGACATGACATATTTAATTGGCTATAGGCGCCAACCAATAAAACGCCTTCTTTGAACACCCCTGCTACTGCCCCTTTCTCTCTCACTGAGTTGCAAGTTAGTTTTGCATCTAATATATATCGGCGAAAAGAGTAGTTTCGGTGACAGATTTGAGAAGTTGCAAGTGTCTACTTGAGGTTGTACTACGAGTGTGAATGTAATAATAAGTGCAAATATATGTTACAATGTATGTGTCTGTCATTGTATTTGAATGGCATTTTACACATTTGTGACTGCTTGTCTGCAACTTTAAATTCAGAACACAGGCAGTGGGGGATTCAACCCGGTCTCATCCCAAATCGTCATATAACTGACGTTTTGGGACGTCTTTTGACCATACGTCAATATTCGCCTTTTTAGGGCCCCCTTAAACGTCGGTAGATGAGGTTATGGGATCCTAACTCTACCCCATACCTAAACTTAACCCTAAACCTAACCCGTCACCTAACTGACGTTAAAGGTAAAGCGTCAGTTGTATGACGGCCCGGGATCGCCATCTACCGACGTTTAAGGGGGCCCTAAAAAGGCGGATATTGACGTATGGTCAAAATACGTCCCAAAACGTCAGTTATATGACGATTTGGGATGAGACTGTGTTAGGGGATTCTACATTGAATTACACCATGACCGAGACCTCCTTCAAGCACCCCCGCCCCCCACAAAATTCTATTCTATTCTGTTATATTTTATTATAACAACTTAAGTGTATTTGTGATATTATGAATGAAATGTGTGTTATTTAGAAGAAAGTCGAGGTGGTGTGACTGACTTTAGCCCACTAATTATTATTTTTTTATTTGAGAGCTACTTTTTAAAATTGAAAATGGCAGAGCTATATGTAATACAAGACTTAAATGTCTTAAATAAAGCCTCATAACTATAATATTAATATTAATAATACCTAAAAGAGTTTTGTGGGCCGGTATGTCATCCTAAAATGTCAGAGAAATTTTCCCCCCCCAATTTTTAGAAAATTGTACTTTGCATATTATACTGTAAAAATGCATAAGTTGATTTATTTTAGTTGATCATAACTAGAGAAGAAATGGCCAATATAACCCATGAATATAGTGACCAAAATTATCTTGTTTATCACAAAATCTTGTTCAAAAAGTACTTTACTACACAATGAAATCAATTTAACAAGTTGTATGTAGATAACTAGCAATTAACACATAAAATTAGTATCAATATGCACTTTTTGTTTACATAAACATTAAAATAATGACATTAAAAATAATGGCCAGATTTCAAAACACCATGTTATGTACAAGTTCAAATAAAGTTGACAAAAAAGGTTTTATAAAAAGATAAACCTCACATAAATCAGCATTTAAATATTTTTTTATAAAAAGAAAGAGTAAAAAAAAAGGATAAATTACTGACATTTATAATGCACATTAGCAAATCTTTTAGTAAACTACGGTCTGTTTTTTTCCCGTGGCGTCTGTCGTTGCTATGCAACCATGCACACAGATAGCTAATGGATTTCCACCGCCGAAATTCGCTTGCTGTGTAAAGCTCTGCTAAAAGATTTATTTACGGAGAAGAGAAAAACGCCTGTAGTGTTTGAGTACACCCCCATCCTTCATGTTGACCTTTTCATTTTACTGCCCCTTTAAAAAAATGAGCGCGTCGCTTGAATAATGAGCGCGCCTACATTTGAACGAACTTGAGCGCGCAAAATAAGCGATATGTAAACGGTCCCTTGACGAGCTAAGTTACCTCCAATCAAGCCACGATCTGGTTTCGTGTTCTGGACGTGTTCGGAGACTTCTGTGATAGATGGCGCAGAGGATTATTTCTCCTGCCGTCCGGCCGCCCAACATCATGTGTCATGAAAAAAAAATGCCGCCCTGGGGGACTGCCTCGTTTGCCCGTGCTCAATAACGCTTACTGATTACAGGTTTGTGACTATTTCAACATTCAACTTCAGATTTTTACTTTACAGGTTTTCACATTGGAGCTGTGAGTGTACATTTTAGCCTTAGCGTTTACGAATATTTATTGTACAATTTCTCAAATTCACAACTATGTGAAGTTTTGCTATTCTTTCTTTTACCTTCATATTTACACTGTAAAAATAATCGTGATTTTAACGGTAAAAGACTGTAAATGCTACTAATGTCTATTTTAGACATTTTCAAGAATCTGTGTGTGTGAGCAGGGATCGTTTTGACAATGGCTTCACCTGTAACTGTTACACAAAAGACATCAAGTTAAAACTTTTCTGCTTTTAGTACATCATTGTCGTGTAAACATGCCCGTTGATACTTCTCCTATGCTAACTTCAGCCAATCATAACAATGGCTGTTACTGACATCTTAAAAATGGGATAATTTCAGACAGAGGGGCAGAACAATAGTTGAATTTTTTTTTTGTGTGCAAAATACTTTATGAGTGAACCTCAAGGAACGTATTCAATAAAAATATAATCTCCATTTTGCAATTTCAGTGCCCTCTCACCAGCTCATCTTTTTGGGTCATGTCTGGACTGACGAGTGTCCACTCAATGTCCAGGTCTCCGACATCTGTGGCGGCCGCGGTGTATGTGCATCCCAAAGTAAGACTCTCCCCCTGGGCTTTCTTGATGGTCTGTGGTCCTGTGGAAGTCACCTGAATAGCCCACGTAAGAGCTAAAGGTTCACAGAAAGACATAATGAATTAATGACCATTCATTTTACAATCACCTGTCTTGTCCAATTTCATCTCGTTTGGTTCTCAACTACTTTGTTTAAGGGTTTGACCACCCAAAAAGATAAATCTGTCATTAATTACTTGCCCTCAATTCCAAATCCGAATCCACAGAACACAAATGAAGATCTTTTTGTTGAAATCTGAGAGCTTTCTGGTCCTCCATTGACAGCTACACAACTAGCAATTTGACACCTCAAAAAGCTAAGATCATTAAAAGCCTAAATTCAAACTGTTCATCATATAAAGCAATCGAGTCGCTTCTGAAATTTTGGTCTAAACCGCTCAATTCATATGGATTAGTTTTATGATCTCTTTATAAACTTTTTGAAGCATCAAAGTGGTAGTTGCGTAGCTGTCAATAGAGGGATCTTGCTGGCACCTATTTGTAAACAGATTCGCAAACCTGTATTAATACTAGTGTGGATTTTTTCTACAATATTCACTCATGGCAGTAAAATATGGCATTTCTAAGAAAATGTGGTTAACCCTGTCATGCTCAGGAAAAAAAACGTCATATACCATGAAAACTAGTATAATTTTGAAAAATAATGTGATATGGATTTTTGGTCATACCGCTCAGCACTACTCATAAGCTATCTAAATTCATCAACTAATCATTCAGAAATGTCCTGTTGCAATCTACATGTTGTCACTTCTGAGTCTCTCCATCATCGTCTGACCCCCATTTGAACATAAAAGTCTAAACATTTTAGAAATCGTCAGTGTATGTCTGTGTGAGGTAAAAGTACACAAGCTGTTGAAGCTCCGCCCTCTTTGCATTTATTAAAGCGCCAAACACAAAAACGGTGAGTTTTTGCTCACCCTCAAAAAGTGACAATTTTTAACAGACTTAGTTTACATCTTGTGAAAAGGGCGCCCCTTTGAGGGTTTTGAATGACATGAGGGTGAGTAAATCATGACGGATTTAAAATTTTGGGTGAACAAACCCTTTAAAGTGCTACCTTTACTGCTGGTGGTTATATGATTTGTTGCATTTTATTATTTGCTTATACTATGGGGCAGTTGAATGCTTGAATCTGATTGGTTGACAAACGTTGTGTGTAATTATTTTCAGGGAAACGCACAGCTAAAGTAGTTTCAGGCAGGTCTCGACCACATTACAGTTCCATACTTTGCCAAATGACCGTTATTTACATCCTACAACAACAGAAGAACCAAAACCCACGACACTGACCAAGCAAATAAATATAGTAAACAATAGGATAAAAACGTCAAATTATGTCCTCAAAATTACATGTTATTTTGTATGGAAAGCACACACTCTCTTAGTCTCTTTCTCACACACTCACACTCAAACACACACTCTCGCATACACGTGTCGTCAGTGCTGCTCTGATGATTTTGTCAGTAAAATAGTTTAACAACTTAAAAGCTACATGGCATTTAGCACTAGCAAAGTAATAACAGTGTATTTTTGGAGAAGATAAACGTACAATTCCGCTATTATTAGAGACGCTGCTGCCAAACACTGTGTTTACAGACGCTCTCTCTCTCATAACTGCATTGTTTACTATAAACGGCTCAAAACTCGGTTACTAGCTCTAAAATGACGTTTTGGGATTAGATTAGATTTTTCAACTGCACATTTTATATGTAAATGAGCTCTATTATGATTGGCCAACCTCTTTGTATATCAATGAAATGCTGATTGCTGAATCCTAGCTCTTTGATATGTGCTCATAGTTGTGACTTCATAACTGTGGCTATTTCTGATGAAACCATTTTTGCAGCTTCATTTCAATGATTGGTCTGAGGAAGATGTGACATGACACCATTTATTTCGAAAGACCACAAACAATCCTGTTTTCCATGATATGCACTTTTAAAAGGGATCAAGAGGGGGGGATTTGCTATAATGTATCACGGTTGCTAATAATGCCATTTATTTGCACATTCTGAAAATCTGCTAAGTGCAATTTCCATGCTTCAATCTTGCTGGTTGGTTCTGAGCGTTGGTTGTGTGTGGAGGAAGATAAAGACTGTACGGATATGTCCAGACACCATCCATCGGCTCTTTAAAAATGCTGAAAGTGCAGCATGGTGCTTCTGGATATTTGGACGGTAATAACTTTCTCCTTCCATATTTGATGAATTACCCGAGCCATGATCACTAGAAAATGTTTTTTTACGGATTGAATAGCATAACATTAGCTGCACCAAGCAGAATATCTTAAGAAAGGTTTCAAAAGGGGGTGTTCGGAACAACAGAAGAACAATTTTTGGTTCCTTCTTAACAAACCTTTTTTTTCTTAGTGTGAAGAACATTTAAAAAAAAATCTAAATAACCTTTTGTGTAATGGAAACGGTCCATGAATGTTATAGGTTGTTCATGGAACCCTAAATGTCAATTTTTTTTTTTAGTGAAAAGAGGCATGTTTATGCTGGAAACAAAATTAATAATCATTGCACAATGCTAATTTATAACATTTAGGGCTTATTAAAGCTTCGAAGGTCAAAAAATTACCAAACAAAACCAGTTTACTGTCATCAGAAACTGGGAAGTCTTGAATATGCAATGTGAGCTGATGTGACTGTTTTCAGATGCTCAAATTCACAAACAGCTGCTTTGATTACAGTTGAGCAATCTTTGCTAGGAGCATATGATTTTTGTTTTGTTGCTACAGATTGTCAGGCTCGTTTTTTTTGTTTTTTTTTTTGCACCACCAACTCAACATGTCCTACAACTATGTCATTCCTGTTAGCACTGCACTTTCACACGAAATGCAGGGAGTGCCTGTGATTTACGGATCGCCTCTCTCAGCTGGAATAAAAACAGTCCAAGCATGAATGTGTAGAGCAACACCGCTGGGCTAAACCCATGTAAGACTGTTGATGTATGGTGAAAAAATGGTGCATTTTCATGCTCTATAATTTCAGTGCACTCAATACGATGCAAATCGTGCTCACACATAATGAACTACTGTATTTTGTTCACGCTACATCTGCTGCTTTTTTAAAAGTCTGAAATGCACATGCAAGTGCATTGAACTGAATCTCAGAATAAGCAGCAATATTCAAAGCTAGAATTTGCATAAAGGAGAGTGGGAGGCCAGTGCAACTTCTTAATATGCAGGGTTAATTTATGCATAACATGGTCACACTGCCGTGGAAACTCACTACAGCCCACACAAAGTGAAGAGAAAAGTGACCTTTAACACAGAAAACCCTCAAAGATACTGTTAATATATATATATATATTTGGCATACCTGCATAATTTAGACACGCTGCAACGATGTATAATGCAGGCAGCGGTAAGGGGAAGTTGATCCAAAACTTGCTCATAGCCAAATGTCAACTTCTTACTGAAAACCTGGGGGGAAAAGAACAGACTGTCATTGTCGCTCGCTGACTGGACACCTCATTTGCAAGTGTGAGTCATTTGATTCTGATAAGGGTCTCAGTTATGGAAAATTCAAATTCATTTTAACGCAACTGGAATGAGAAAGTCTCGAGTTTCAATTCAAAGGTGTAAAAACAACAACATTCATCACTCTGACGAAGAACAGGAGGAATGTCAGCGAAATAAATATGGCACAGAAAAATGAAACCAGGAATATGTATCTGACAGATATAGCCTATTTTTAGAAGCCAACACTGAACCCAATTTACAATGATACTGTATATACAAACAAATAAAATTATTTATAAGAAATAATAAATTAGTTGAAATAAAAACCAAAATTTATATTTATTCACTTAAATATCTTAAAATTCATGTATTTTATTGTCTCTTTAATTAGTTATTCCTGTTTAAGAGTGTTGGTATATTTGCCCGATTGATTCACTTTCCAGATCAATGAAAAAGTTATATATATATATATATAAAATACAATTTTAATAATACAATATTAATAATTGAACAAATAAATTAAAAAAAATGTTTTTTTTTATATATACACAATATTTACTTAATTTTTTAAAAAAAACATTGTGCACTAACAAATGAAAAGTCTGATGACCAGTTTGGTATCAGACAAATTTAAAAATCTCAAACACTTCCTGATTTATCTGCATGAGTCACATGAAATATGGATTTACACAGGATATGAAAATAATGATCAAGCAGCATGACCGATATTTTCGCCTTATATCCTGTGAAAATAAAGAAAAGAAAACGACACAATAAAAAGGGACTTGGGTTAGTTGTTAAAATCTCCAAGCACTGAAACTGTGATTGTTATCAGTGTGTCTATAAATCATTTAAGGAACAAATCATGTGTCACTGTAGCTGCCAATAAAACACAGTAATTCAAACTTTGAGGAAGTGTATACAGCTTAAACATGATATACAGTATGCTTATACAGAATACTTGCTTACTGACGGTCTGCAATAATTATCCCAGTCTCATAAGAAATTAAATAAGCCAGAAAAACAAATTAATGGAGGTCAGAGCAGGCAGAAATCTTATAAAGAGCAAAGTCCAAACTACAGTTCTTCCTCTCACAAACAACTAGCTCTGTTTCTTCTTATTATAAATCTGTAAACTCAATAAAATAATCCAGTGAAATAAAAATATAAATTACCTCTCAACGGAGCAACCAATTTCAGAATAATCCAACAAACCGTGCAGTTCGATCAGCTGTTTTGGTTGTGGTTTCCTCAACTCTCACTCTTACCTGAAGCAGGTAAACAGGTGTTTCAGCTCAAGCTCCGCCCCTTGCAGAAGTCCACCAATCACAGAGGACCACAAACTCAGTGCAACTCACTGCTGACCCACCTATTTACACCTGGCATGTTTGATTTGTGAGTCATGTGGCGTGTGTAGGCAGTCAAGCTTCATTCCAGTGAAATATTCCCCTGGGGTTATCTAATGTAGAAGGTGTTCAACGAATCACAGTAAGTGGATTAAATCAGCTATTTTGAATCAAAGAGAGGATTTCATGATCCAAACACAGCGTTCACAGAAAAGCAGTGCTTCTCATTTGGATATTGAACACAATGCTAAATATGAATAATACAATATAACTATATAGCCATAAAGTCATCCGTAGTTATCATATTAATACATTTATATTTAAAAGGGCAGATGCTCATATTTCTTAGTGTTGTTAGTTTTGCTGAAAATACATCTGTTTTTTGGGGAAATATGACTAATACTAATTCAATATTAGTGCTTGTTATGTGTGTTAAGTTGATGCAACACACTTGTTGTTTATGGGTTTCTTACTCAGCCTGCAGCCATGTGAATCATTTTGCATTTTGTTTGCCCTGTGCAATTCAGGATTAATAATACTAATGCATTTGTTGTTTGGTTTAATGATAATTTTCTTTACATTCGATAAACACATTTTGACTGTGTGGGCACTGTCCTAATACAAAATGCAAAACCGAATGAGAGACACTGCACTGAAGTGTCTTATGTTGCATATTGCATGACAAATGTGATTTTTTTTGTTTCATTTATTTTGTATTAAGCTCAAAAGGCCAGTGTGTCGATGAAAGTAGTGTTTATTTTGGAAATGCAACTGTAAAAACCTAAATCCTGTTGTACTGGGGAATCGGCTTGTTTGCTCTGTTACTCCGACTAATTATCACTACAAAACATGTACAATACAAGGAGAATCATTCTTTGCTGTCACTGCAGGCGATGGATGTGCGTACACGGTCTCAGATGAAGTCTTCTGTCAGTCAAGAGCTCTTTTGATCATCAGTGCCACCTCAAACTCCCACAGCTACACACAGAACCGTGGAAATGCTGATATGATCACCCTGGCAACATCCCTGAGACTCTGAGGACAAAAACACAAGGTGAGTGTGAGTGTGTGTACAATTCAGAATTGAGGAAGCGGGTCTCGTTGATGGCTATGAATTTGAATCGAATTTTTGTGTCTGGTTAACAAGATTTTTCTTGCCTAAAAAGCAATTTCATGACATGTTTATGTTGCTATTGAGAGGAAAGTGTGCAGCACATACTTTATTTAAGTTTAAAGCTTTATTAATCCCCGTGGGGCAATTCGTTTGAGCTATACGTCACTCTCAGCGGTGTGTCGACGGCGTCTGGGTGTTTATTAGCAGTGTATCACTGCAAAGGTGTTTCCAACTTCTGTTTACTTCTAAGCGATAAAACTTCACCGTGAGTGTATCGGGGGCCTTAATTCATCTTCAGTCTCTTATGTTGCTGACTGCAGTTCACTCGACGGCCATCGCTAATAACAATTCCACACATGGCCCCTTTAAATGCAATGAAACTATTAATACAGTAATTATAAAGGATTTAGCCTGACGAATTCAATGGTGTACATGACCAAAGTTCTGTGTTTGAGGTTCAGTCTGATTCTTTGCTAACACAAAAGCAACGTTCTCCTCGTCTTGATCTCTTTCTCGTGGGCTTAGCTTCAAGGCCGACATCCGCTACAGCTAATCGTTGAGATAGCGGCCGCTGATAATTGGTGCCGATTAGGAAATTAAGACCATTCAATGTAGTTTTCCCTGAAGACCTTGAGATATGAGCTTTAAAAATCCTTATCTCTTCTTATCAAGAACAAAGAAAGCATCTTCTTGTGGTTTTCAATGAAGCAGTTCATCCAGTGAACTCAGTCCTTTAGTAGTGAGAAGACATTGACACCAGATGAGAGGTTTTCTATATAGTGTGATGCTTTGAATAACATTCTGAGGTTTTGTTTTGTTGTGCGCACGAATAATGAACGACTTGATCTAACATCTGACTTTAAAGAGCAAGCGTACGTCAAGCCGTCACTTTAAAAAAGGTAAAGTATTTTCAGTCATTTCTGATGGGCACAATGGTGACTGGAAAATCTTCAGTTCATGAGTCATCTGGAGACACTTGACCCAGTTTGACTCCAAAATATATTTTCATATAACCAACAAAATATTTCTAGAAGCACTAGGTACCACCTGTTAAATTTAAAGATATTTCATAATTCTTTATACAGTACATTCATTTTTATTTTATTAATGTTAAAAGTTACCCCTATTCGTGATATTTATTTTTATTATCTGAAAAGATTTTGGTGGAATATTTTATAGAGCTCTATGGTGCAAGATCATTTTTCAACTAATCTAAAACTATATACAAACACTCTCTTATTTTATACCAAGCACTGGCGACATGGCGAATGAATAAAGAAAATATACAATAAGTAATGCTTACTGGCCTTGAGACTGTATTTTGTGTCATTATGTTAAGTAGAAAATATTTTTCCTTGTGACAATATGATCATTTCAAGCTGTTTGTCGTTCGTTTGTGGCATAATGTCTTTTGAAGCATCATATATGAAATGAGACGGTCTCCATCTTTTGATGAAGCTGCACCTGCCATAAACAACATAAAGACATTTTGTTCTGTTTATTTCTGTTTTAGTGGCTTAATGTGAGAAATACTCAATGTGCCGCCAAAAGGAATATATGATGTCCTCGATACACATATGATGGGGAAGAGGCATGGGTCATGACAGTTCTTGTTTGGTTAAACATTTAGCGAGGGTCAGGCAAGCATTTATATTTGATTAATAATGCAATGTGTTGCAGTTACCAAATAACAGTTTTTTTCTGGTCAAACTAAGGCAGTTTTTACTTGCATTTGATGCTTTGAATAGTGGTCATTTTGGACACCATCTGACACCTACTGGTGTAGATGCATTGTCATGCAAAAATATTTATGGTTATCAATGAAAAATATTTATGTTGGCGGCCTCCAAAAAGTGGACGATCTGACGGTTTTAGAAGATTAACAACCCAAAACTAAAAAAACAGACCCGGCCTCTATTTGAGACCAGCTTTTATTTACCCAAACCTGTCCTGCAACCACACCAGGTGTGTAAAAGAGACAGGCGTCTATTTGGGACTCGGCTATTATTTGAAGTTTTACGTTAAATCTCCTAAATCTCTGACCCGTCGTCTTTTTCCTCGTCTAATTTTCTGTCGCTCTACACACGTCATCTTGTATCATTGACCCGATTGGCTATGAGCTTCATACAGGTGCATTTGATAGACATTCGTAGCACCCAATGATACGTCTCTGGGCATTCATAAACCACGCCTCAAATACAGAAAATGAGCGTGGTTTCCAGACTACAGTACGTTTCATTCTCACTGATACGCGGTCTGGCGTTAGGCAGGGGTGCGTTTCCCGAAAGCAACGTTTGCCAAATTTGGTCGCATGTTCCGTCGTTATCAGCATAGTTCGACGAGTCTGTGTTTCCCGATACCAACATGACATGACTTTTGCGTAAACATACACACCACTTTCGAGTCAAGTGGCGTGTTATCTCTACGCATTTTGAGCTATCCGCGTGTATCCGTGTGTATGTCTACGCCATTAACGTCCGAGTGATTCAGCGTGTCTGTACACGCCGTCAAATGTACGCACGAAACGAAGCAAAATGTACATCTACATCTGGGGAGCGATCTTTTTTTTTTTCCTAGGATGGTAAAGGAACAGTCATAAATGCCATTAACCCCAGTGACGGTTAGGTTTAGGGACGGGGTTGAGGTAAGTCATATATTTATATATACCGTAATAACGTTAAGTCAACGGCGTTCATAAACACGCTGAAAAGCGATTATCTTGATAGCACATCAAAAATGGAAATACGAATTGGCGTGTCATACACACGCTACTTCATGAGATCAGTCTGCCGATACAATCGTTCCAACGAACATTCGCATCGCATCGCGAAATTGTGTGGTTTGAACGACAGCTCTCAACCTGTGATTTGAGTTTCTATATTGCATATAGATTTTGAAAGTACCGATTTTGAAAGTACCGAGATGACATGTCTGTAATTTATTTATAAAAAATCTTGCGTTAATTGGATCTCAGTTTCATTAAAAGTAGTTATTACTCCACCACATGCGAAACCAACATGGTTGAACGATACTTAGCGACAATGTGTTTCGGGAAACAGTCGTGACTAGCTAGTTGATTTCTCCAATGATGTATTGTACGGGAAACGCACCCCTGGCTAGTGATCTGTAGTATATTAAAATAAATGTGCTCGACTTTTATTTATGACTTGTACTTTCTGTTACATTTGACTAGCATTCTTGCAATAAATAATAGAATGTTTTTTATTCCTATTGACTGAACAGCTTTGTAAATTGTGGCCAATACACTAAGCAGGTGTGCGTTACAATAATTATAATGTGTTCAGAAGAACAATTGTTCACGGAATGTTTTTTTAAATTCGTTTTTAAATGTAAAACATTGTTAAAAGAAATAACATTTTGCTACCGCATCCCATTTGAATGCGTTTCCGTCAGTGTGAAAGTGTTTAAACTTGAGTTATTGAGGTCACATAAGCAAAACACACGGGGAAATGCTGCGCTTGTCATCCCATGACTGCTTTCACTCAAATGCTAATGGAGTCTTTAGAAAGCGAAGCCGAGGTTATGTTCCTCATTGTGCCATTGAATGCAAATGTTGGATTGGATCGCCGCCACTTGTTGGCTCCCCTGATTGATTTCACGGAGTGGCTGTGCTTTTGTTTATTTGCACCTTTGGTACTGAAGCGGAGACGGTTGCTCGGTGGTTTCCTTCTGAATTTCCCCGGCTGGTCGTAAGGCCACTTTTCTGAGTGATGAAATCTTGAATTGGACTTTTAAAACGACAAGTGGAAACAAAGACGTTGACAATGGCGCAGTCGCCTTAGGTGTGCTTTGTGTGATTT